ACTTTTGTAGCGAGTGGATTTAGCTAGATGTATCTTTATTGACTTCAAAGTGTGAAGCTTCTCGACACGTCGTCTTTGTCTTTGTCTACGCGTCACGAGGGTTCATTTACCATCCTCATCAACTACAGGTGTGGAATCTTCTTTGCACATGATTTCTCCCTAAAAAAAGAAGAGATTTGACAAAGGTTGGATCAAGGCTACCGAATTGAAATTTCGACGATTCTTCTATTGTAGAGGACAAAACTTGACGAGCACTCCGTGCATGAATGATGCTAGGAACATTTGTGTTGACCACATCTTCGGTATCTATGATTATTTTTCCTTATCGTTCCATTCAAAGGATATCTCCTTCACCACAAAGAATTTTTCTATGATACTTGCAGTATTTAGGGTCGTTTACCTTTTCGGCCTCCTCGGGGCATTTTGGTTCAGGCAACTCGATCAATTTCTTCCAACAACACATAAAAGATTTGCGAGACATCGGAGTCCGGGAATAGGTATTATTTTTCTTGCATTTCTTTCAACCTAGGCTGACATCTATCATTAAACATACATTGATCTTCCTCTCTTTTGTCTCTCTTCTTTGATTGAATCTTCATACTAGTCGCCTTGATGGCCATAGAATCTTCAGCAACCCTAGTGAATTTATTGCTTCTCCTTGGGTCATTCTTTTATGGTTAGCGATGCTCAATTCCATATCGTGGGCACGAGTAGCCAATTCTTCAAAAATTTGGGGCTTAATCCCTTGAAAAGTATAGAGAATTCCCCAATGCATGCCTTGGATACACACATCTCAATTACTGATATTTTTGATAGCTTATCCTTGAAATTTAGACTTAGCGCACGCCAACGGTTAATGTAATCCTCAAGTGGTTCATCTTTCCATTGTTTCACATTGGTAAGCTTGATCATACTCACAGTGCGGCGCGTGCTGCAGAATCGATTCAAGAATTCATGTTCCATCTTTTCCCAACTATTGATGGACTCGGGTTCCAAATTGATGTACTAGTCAAAAGCATTTCCCGCGAGTGATCTTACGAATTGTTTCATCAAGAGATCGCCGTTAATCCTCATATTGTTGCAAGTTTCGATGAAATGAGCAATATGTTGCTTGGGGTTCCCCTTTCCGTCGAATTGTTGAAGCTTTGGGGGTCGGTATCCAGCTGGCATTCTCAGTGCATCGATCCGCTTAGTGTACGACTTTGAGTACATGGGTGCGACTTGAGATGGTCCACCATATTATGCTTTGATGGTATTAGCAATCATCTCTTACAATTGTTGAACAAATAGCGTGGCAACAGACATTGAAGAATGAATGGCGCCTTGCACAAAGTTCGGTTTGGGTTGTGCTTCTTCCATTTGCTTTGCTTTCTCGTTGCGAAGCGTGTATGATCCGTGCTTGGGGAAAAACTCTCCAACCTCTGACTGTTCCAACTTATCCATTAATTGAGCAATTTTCATGTCTTTGTCTTCGACTATCTTTTGAAGATTAGCCATTGTTTGGGCCAAGTGCGCCAATTGCTCATCCATTGAAGTCGCATCAACCACCATAACCGGGAATGTGGTGAAGGCTTGAGATTTGGATTCGATTTCTTCCGATCCTAAGGATCTTGAGCCATTTGACGTAGTTGTGTTATCGATCTTGCCCCCGGTGGGTGATAAACCAACAACAGTGTCAATCTCGGCAGCCTTTTGGATCAAACAGTTTTGGTTCTTCTTTTGGAGCCATTGGATCGTTGAACAAAAGAATATGCGCTTAGACGTAAGAGAGGAGATGAGAGGCAAAGTAGTCCCACCGGGCGTGCAATTTGTAAACCGCAAAATTCTCGAGTATGCAAAATATAATAAAAAATACGAGACATGAAAATAGGGAACAAATAATTTATAATCAAACGAAAGTGGATTACAATCTCCGGGGATTTCCCTGATTCTTCACTCATATTGTAAAATCGATTCAAGGGCTTAGAATCTTTTTCTTGAACCGAATAAACATAAACAACTCGAATTCAAATATGTTTTGAATTCGAAGTGGATGAGCTCGATATGTGTCTATGTGAGTCTGATTTTTTGCATGCACCGAATGCCTTATTTTATAGGCACAAGCTATGGGTTTTTGGCACAAGCTAGGGTTTCTTGATTTGTAGCATGGGACAGACATTTTAAAACCCAAATATGTTATGGTCTTTAATTTGATACCTAATTAATAACCGATTTATTTTGGTTATTAATTAGTAATTTATCTTAAAATTTCGATGTCTACAATAACACAAGTCGCATTTTGAAATAATCAACGACATATAAAGGTGACTCGTATAAAGTTTGTTGATGCCATTTGTGTTTTTTTATGTCATTTTGTAATATGTGTTTTTTTTTTTTTTTGTAAATGGCCATTTCTTTTCCGAGTTGTCACTACAAGAAAACAAGGTTTGAGAGATAGAAATTTACATCGCCAATTCACTAAATTCGTCGCTAAACACATCGACGAATGCGCTGACGGACATGATCGGTCAGTACAAACCCCAACATTAAATTTTACCAACCAAAGTTTTACGGCGTCGGAAAATTAGCAACATAAATGGGGTCAATAATCATATCGCATTTTGTCGCAACAAAGATCTCCTAACAAATGATTTTCATCCGATCTAGGTTTTGAACCCTGCCCATCACATACTTTTTCAATTTGTAACATGATTTGAATGAAAACAATAGATGATTTTTCGCCAGTAAGATTCAAATTGGCGATGTAGACTTTTGTCGGTGATTTGTTACTAAATGTTGCCGACTATTTATTTTCAATTAGTAAAACACAGGCTTTTTAGTTAGTAATATTCCAGTTAGCGACATAAGATTTATGTTTGTAAATCGATTGGTAACTATTATCGACCGGTTATTTTCAGTCAGTTAAATACCAATGAATTGTTTTTTAGTAATTTTGTATGTACGTTGTAATGACTAATAGTATAGAGTTAGTAATATACCAACAAATGGTATGTAAGTGACTTCCATGGCTACATATAATCGACAGATAATATTGTTGGCGATCAATCACCAATATACCAATAAAATTTCTAATTTCCAACGGTTGTTTTGTCCGTGAGTATTTTGGTGTTAATAATCTGTCACTAATTATGATTCTAATCATTAATAATTATAGCAACTACTTTATCGTCAATAATTTGTTAATATTATAAATTATTATTAAAATATTGTGAAGAATATCCAACTGTATACTTGTGCACTAAGTTTCATTCTATAACTACACATGTCAATTTCTCTTGTAGATGACTTTGTGTTATAGATGACAATGCTTGTTCTATTTTGTATACAAGTAGACCCCTTCAGTAATGAAAATATATATAGGTTTCATTAGCAATCTCACACTGTTTCTCTCGCCTGTCAAAATCATTAGTTGATTGTCGTTGGAGTACATCAACATTATAAAGTATTTCTATTAGTTGTATTACGCTGTTAAAACCATTAGTTGATTGTCGTTAACTACATCAAAATTATAAAGTATTTCTATTAGTTGTATTACTTATGAGATTCCAAGTATTGAGTTCAAGCAAGTTCACTGCACGAAAAATAAAAAGAAATCATAGAATATCAATCAAAAGACAGACACAATCTCAATATTGATTTTAGCTACATCAGAGATTTCTTTTTTTAGGTAACAAAAATTGGGACGATGGAAGGTGAGGTGATGGGTGGAGGGTTTTTGTCGACGAAAATAGACTATTCTACCCTTATAATTTCGTATAAAAACATTTTATAGAAACTATTAGATCAAGAATTGCCAAATGGTGTATTTTGCCAACCAAAAGTCAATTCAATTTAGGGTAAATGGTAAATAGGTCCATGACAAGAGCAATTAATTAAAAGAGGGATATCCAACTTTTTTGTCTTTCAAATAAATCCAGCCCATTCAAACTTATTTACAAATAAGGAAAATCATTTTATATATACCCAAATTACCCTCAATTCATTGAAACCCAATTCAACTCCAATTTCATGATTTACACCACAATTTAGCCCAATTTCATCAATTAACTAATATTAACCCTAATTTCAATTTTGACCCCAATTTTGACCCGCCACCACCGGAGACCGACCACCGGAGACCGTCGGTCTCCGGCGTTGACTTTTTTTTTTATTTATATTTTGTTTTTTCTTAAAAAAAATATTTTAATTAATATTACTGTTTTGGCTGCTAAATTACTATCTCCAGCAGTTATTTAACTGTCGGAGACAGTATTTTAACTGTTAATTGACTTTTTTATTCTTTAAAAAAAATATATTTAATTAATATTACTGTATCCGTTGCTAAATTACTGTCTCCGGCAGTTATTTAACTGTCGGAGACAGTAGTTTAACTGTTAATTGATTTTTTTTTTAATTTTTTTTCTTAAAAAAATATTTTAATTAATATTATTGCTTTGACTGCTAAATTATTGTCTCCAACAGTAATTTAACTGTCTTAGACAATAATATTAATAATATTACTGTTCGGGAAATAATATTCATAATATTATTGTCCCAAACAGTAATATTACTGTCTGAGACAGTAATTTAGTAGTTAAGACAATAATATTAATTAAAATATTTTTTCTAAGAAAAAAATTCGAAAAAGAAAAGTCAACGCCGGACGCTGGCCGGAAAAAAAAATTCATAAAAAAAATTATTTTCTGACAAAAAAAATATTTTGGGTATTAATGTGATACATTTGTTTAAATTCGAGGTCAATGTGTAATATTAAGGAAGTTAGAACATAATATATGGAATTTATAAGAATTATAGTATGAAGGATATTTTAAACTAAAGAAATGAGCATGAGTTTAATTGACAGACTGTTTTTTTGTGAACTAATGTGCATTTAAGTCCCATGTGATGGACATTTTTTCCCATTCACCCTTCAATTTAATAGTGCAAAGTGTTATTTTTGTATTTTAGGGTGTAAACTGTAAAATGTCACTGGCACCTAATTGAAGCGTACAAATTCCCAATTACCCTTCCTGGGAAATTCTCCAATTAATTACACTAAATCAGAAGTTTCCCTCTACAGCCATTTTTAATGGCACCGAGTAAGAAAACCAAATCGAAGGGGAACTCGGTCGAGTCAACTCAATCGCCGGCTAAGTATCCGGCGTGCATCCGGCCCATACCTCCATCGTCCGTTGCTATCTCCATCCACGCCAAACCCGGCTCCAAACTCGCCGCAGTCACCGGTAATAATCAATTTTCAATTGATTTAATTTCTTTTTTTTATAATTTGATAAGACTTCGATTGAAGAAGTATTTCAACACCATCTTCCGGTAACTTATTTCTCTCTGTAAAAATTGACGAGATCCTTAGATATGAGCGATGATGCATTAGGGGTGCAGATTGATGCTCCGCCTAAAGACGGTGAAGCTAACGCCGCACTTATCGATTTCATTAGCTCTGTACGTTCTCTTTTTTCTTATGCTAAATTGAAAAAATTTCATGTGTTAATTTATTTATTTATTTGTTTTCTCATTCAGAATAATAATTTGATTCAGTTAGCTGATTTCTGTGCATTTTTGTTCCGTTGTTTTTTATGAATCTGAGCAGAGAATGATATGGCTAATATTATGTGTTCAATTTGGTTTGTTTGATTCTTATCTAAAAAAGAAATCAGTTTGTTTAATGCTACACCCGGTGAAATACACTGCGTGATATTAACCGTTGATCTGCACACAATCACACACACCCATGTGTATGTGTGTTTAGTGGGAAGTTATTTCACCATATCAACGATTAATAATTACCCGGTGTATTTCACCAGGTGTAACATCTCGTGTAGCATCTCAAAGACCGTTGAATTTGATAATCAATGACAAATTTGTAGTCGATATTAATATTTATTTAAATAAATTTATATGAAAATTATAATTTATTTATAAATGAAAAGATATATGTATTTTTAGAACTTAAATATGCACCTCTATATTTTTCCAAGTTGTTGTTCGGGTTTGTTGTTCCGATGTGGTATATCGATAACTTTATTTTGAAGTTCAAGTAGTTGCTCGTTCGCTATTCTTCTTAGAAGTACACGAGTCTATAGTGGATGTATTCGTATTTCGTAATTGTATGTTTCGTGTGACCAGGTTATTGGGGTGAAAAGGAGGCAAGTATCACTAGGTTCCGGCTCAAAATCGAGGGACAAGGTTGTGATAATAGAAGAGGTAACGTTACAGACTGTATTTGATGCTCTGAATAGAGCTTTACTGAACCAATGATCGATATTTATGCACTTAAATTATATGATCCTTTGTGTTTTAACATAATAGAAAAGCTTTATAAATTATGCTTGAAAAAAATTGTTTTGTCTTCATAGCATCTGGTTTTCTGAATGAACCGTAGTAAAAGTAGAAAGGATAAACATGTTTGATGCCGGTTGGATTCGGATTTCACCTATCTTAGTTGTGCTGAATGTTTCTTCCTTCGATTCAGTTGTTGTTATTCTGGAAAAGAACATATAAAAACAAAAACACGAGACGGAATATTTTAAACAAAAAAACCCACTCGTCTCTGCATTCTTAGCTTCTTTCGTACCTGAAAGAAGAAGCTAACATGTGCATGACCAAAATGGTATGTGTTTGTATATGTGTGTTTAATTTTCAATCAGATGATTGTAACATGAAAACAATTGATTTTTAGGTTGTTGTGTAATTAATTAAAAGATAAAAATGAGGATCATGGCAGTAAACTGAAATCGTTTAACGTCTATAGCTAAACATTCTTTTCGCGACCGAATAGGTCCTAGGTGCAAGGTACTTACCAACAGGCTACCTTGTCTTGACCATATTATAGTGCATTACTTTGTTACACAATCATCAAACAAACAAAAAAGCTAGATTAAATAGGCATTAAAAAAAATCGATAATAAAAAAAAAAAGGGAAAACTCATAACTGAACCCTTTTTTTTGTCGCACACATACCATCCTTATTTTCTTTCTCTAATAATTCCCGAAAAATATCCGATTTACCCTAAAAAATCATAAAAATTGGAGATGGGCGATCATAGTGCAGCTACCACCACAGCTAAGCTTCCGATTCCCACGAAGGGAAACATCCTCATCACATGTGTGTTGCCATATGTCGGAAACATCATCGGATGTGTGCTGAGCTGTGACTTATTTGAGAGGTACTGTCGAATTTATATGAATACTTTAAATTATGGGACAATGAGACAGGGAAATTCTCCAAGAGTAATAAGGGTGTAGGAGTGTTTGTAAATGATGCAAAAGTCACAAATAAATTTTCCTGTGGAATTTTGAATATAGACCAGACACATTATTCATATGGAAAGATTTGCAAGCAAAGTTGATTTTTAGAGCTGGTGAGCAATCTTGGAAACTTTTTGCCCCATTGATGCTCGATTTTGAATTGCGCGACAAAGGAGTGTATAAGGGAGTAGATAATTATGTGTTGCTGATTCAAGTCAATAGGGTTTTTTGCTCGATTTCCTTGTAATATATGTCATCATTATTATTTTCGACAATTATTTGGTACATACTTCGACTTCCAGAAAATGAGCTTATCAGAGTTGTTTGTTTGCACAAACTTTATACATTCAGTACCGGTTCTTTTAACATAAATGAGTGAAAAACTAGAGTAATCTCATTACGCTTGCTCATTAGTCATTACTCATTTATGAAGAGAAAGTAAATGGTGGCTGGCAAATTGGCAAATTCAACCTCATGGCCGTTCCGTGTTCCGAAAGCTGTGATTAAGCGTCTCGAAAAACTCACAGGCAAGCTTTATATGGAGTTCACAAGATTAATGAATGATCAGAATTTTCAGTATTTAGTAGCTGAATACAAACATTCACATTCTCAACCGTCCACACATACTAATAATAGCTAAAGCCCTCTCTCCCCTTTCTCTCGCTCCCTCGCTCTCCCTCATATTCTCCTTTTGGAGTTTCAAGAAGCAAGGATGCACGGAGTAGCTCTTGTTCGTTTTGTTAGTCGGCATTATTGGTTTGTAGTTTATGTTTTTTTCATGGTAATGTATTTTTTTTTTTTATACAGAGAATGTGGTTGTTATGTTACAGCTGACTCGAAAAGTTGACAAACTGCATGCATTATTTATATTTGCGCTTCCTGGGATTGGCCAAACAATCGTAAGTCTTTGTTGAAGAATAACCGAGATCAATTGAATAATGCCGACTAACAAAAAACCCTAAACTGTGTATTAATGAAGCGAATTGAAACTACGATCAAACACATAACAATTAACATGGTTCGGTGATCAAAAGCTTTATTACTCTGAGATCAACACAAGATTTACAAGAAGAAGTTCACACACAGAAACATACTTCTTTACGCACAGTGTTTTCTGTCTGTCTTCTCTCTAATCTTTCTCTCTATGTTAACTAATTACAAGATGATATGCCTCTCATATTTAACTAACTGCTTTCACGTGTATATATAGCATGTTGGAGATTTGAATCAACCAATCATAATTGAGCTCTAGAAACTTCCACAAGAAACTGCCCCTTCCATCAGTTTTAGCACTTGCATTAAAAAACAGTGATAACTAAGCAGTTTTTTAAAGTTCCTCAAGCTCAATTGGTCCCAAGGATTTTCCACCTCGGCTCCACGTCAGATTATTTAACACATATTCAACAAATCTCCAAACTAATCGTATCCAAGCTTTCTCCTTTCCCTCCCCAGCTCACCTTGTGTGCTTCAATGCAAGGTCTTGCACTTTACTAAGTCGAAACAACAATTGAACTTGGAAATTGGCAGTGATTTGGTTAACATGTCAGCAAGATTATCTTCTATTGGAATTTTCTCCACCTACTAACCCTTTATGTACCACATCTCTTACAAAGTGCAGTTTTATATATATCACATTTAGCACTTGCTTCCTTGTCAGGGAACAGTGCTTTTGTTATCACAAAACACTGTAATATTTTTTTCATGGATCCCGTGTTCTTTAATCAGTCCAATAATCCAAAGTGTACGTGTCATTTATTGCTTCAGTGACGGCAATATATTCAGCCTTTGTGGTTGATAAAGCTACCACTGATTGAAGATTAGCCTTCCAACTTATTGCAGTTCCAAACATTGTAAACACAAAAGTTGTAAGAGATTTCCTTGTTTCTATGCTCCCTGCATAATCATAATCCGTTGTACATTGTTCATGTTAGTCCTTACTTCTTTTATATTACGACATTGATCACTATCAGAGTAGCAGAGGAAAAACAAAAGTGAGAAGATGATAATTTCATAATATCATATTTTCATTTAATGCAGAGTATTGCCCTGTACATATGTACTTATAGAATCATAAGTGAATCAGGATTTGTTACAATTTGTTAGACTAGAGTGACCACATTCGTGTTTAAACTGTCATCTATTGGATGAATAGGCGCCTACATGGCGACCGAAAAGACACATCCGCCTATGTGCGGTGATGTCATCATTGTACATGTGTCGCGCTCGGATTTGCTAGAATGAATAAATTCAATCTATATAATATATAAAGAGAAGATATAGGGAGAATTACACTTTTGGCCCGATTCCACTTTTCGTCCCCTTGTTCTAAAGTTAACAAAGTTAACCACCAAAGTTCAATTTTAAACACTTTTGGTCCCCACCGGTGCACGTCCGTTACCAAGTAACGAAAAACACTATTTTTGGGCGAAAATTGAAATATTAATTTTTTTGAGGGTTGGAAAATAATTAGAAATTTAAAATAGACTACTTATAAATTTTAGTTAATTAAAAATAATTGGGGTTTTTGTGCGTAAGTCCCTAACCAAGCATCTATATTATTCTAGGTTTAGGGGTTATATCTCTTTCACCAATAAGTCCATCCCGTTAATATTTGTTATAAATAAAGGAAAAATTCATGTATATGACAAAATTACCCACAACCTTTTACACCCATTTCTTAATTGTAACCTCAATTTAATCAATTTTGACCACAAAAATCAAATCTTGACGTTTTTTTTTTCAAAAACTTTTTTTTTCAAAAAATATTTTTTTGCCGCCGGATTCCTGCGTTGACTTTTCGATTTTTTTTTTTGTTCTGGTCTATTTTTTCCGCCGTCGAATTCCGACGTTGACTTTTTTTTTCTGGTCCATTTTTTCCGCCGGTGGATTCCGGCGTTGACTTTTTATAATGTTTTTTTTTTACGTCTGTCGTTAAACGTTAACCGTAATTGTGATGTCATTAACGGTAATTATATTATCACTGACAGTAAATTAACGTAACTATATTGTCATTAACAGTACATTAACATAATTGTACAGCCGTTGACAATACGTTTATGTACTTGTACTGCCGTTGACAGTAAATTAACGTAATATTATATTTTTTTCATTTTGTTTGATTTGTTGACAAGTCAACGTAATTATATTACTATCGTTGAAAGTAAAATAACTGTAAACATAATTATATTACTGTCAATCACATCAATATTATTATTTTTCTTGGGTTTTTTTTTTTGTTTTGTTTGAGTCATTCACGGAGTAACGTAATAATATTACTGTCTACTATTGTAATATTATTGTAAACACAATAATATTACTGTGGTTGACGGTAATATTACTGTTGTTATAGTAATATTACTGTCAACCACATCAATATTATTATTTTGTTTAGGTTTTTTGTTTTGTTTGAGTTATTTACGGAGTAACGTAATAATATTAATGTCTATTATTGTAATATTACTGTGGTTGACGGTAATATTACTGTTGTTATAGTAATATTACTAATACTCACAGTAATATTAATTCTTTTGGCTTTGTATTATGTTTACATTTGCTGAACGATCAACATATTAATATTACTCTATTACACAATAATAATGAGTTTTGTTGTGTTAATATTATTGTGCTAGAGATTGATATAGCAATATTATTGTGTTAAACTGTAGTATAGTTAATTTTACTGTGTTTAACAGTAATATAGTTAATACCACTGTCAATCACAGCAATTTTGCTGTTTAAACGGGAAAAAAAATGATGTTACAGAAAGAAAGAAAAAGAAAAAGTCAACGCCGGAAACCGGTGATGGTGATAAGTGTTCATTTTGCATGATTTTCACTTATCAATTCTTCGAGTTTTGGTCTTCGTTCGTCCGAGTTTTCGGCTTTATTTGTATATATTATGTTGTTTTTGTTTTATTTATATTTTAGGTAAAGAGAAGCTATTTTTGTCGATTCGAAACGATTTTGGAAGCGAAGCCGAGAACCAAACCAAACACGTGCAAAAGTGCATTCTCGCGGATTGTGGCAGTGTTTGGTATTTCAAGCATTACTTTCTCATGCGACCTCCGATTGAGCTGATTCAAGTGAATTTAGAAAGCTAACTTCAAGGGCTACAACTTTTGTGCAATGCACAATTGTCGAATTCGGGCTGAAAAAGGGTGAAAAAGGTGTTTGAAGTTGATGCAGAGGCCAGATCGCGATCCAGAATCACCGGATCGCGATCTG